GGAAAGAGGGATTAACTTGGGGAATCCATTTGCTTACGTCAGTTAAAGTCTTAGAGATGATATTTGAGCATCCAATCTGCCAAACAGAATTATCAAATATTGAGAAGCGTTTAATTTTAGCCCTTGTAGTAGGTATCAATAAAATTTTCAGGAAATATAGACATAACATATATACGGGCCAGAGATGTAGATAAACTAGTGGCTCTCTTAATTCTTTCTCTCACAAAAGACAATAAAAGGCAAACACACATCCAAAACCAAAACAGTAGTCTGAAAAGCAGAAGTTAATTTTCAGTACACTGTAAAACAAAGTTAAGATGTACATACAAAATCATGTTATATGTTATTTGTTATTGAAGCTCCAAATCAAAATTCTGCTTACCCAGTTTGAACAAGGACATACTATTCTTGATACCCTGACTATTTCAGCTTTACCTTGAGTCTTAGCCAGGTTACATGTGGCACTCTTTGTCCTCTGCTGAACTGTAACTCGCCCATTGCCGTTTCCTTTTTTCTTCAAAATTGCCTGTGGTATTGGATCACTATTTCCTTTGTCACTGACTTTCTTTAGTAGACTAAAAAAAAAAATTATTTGTGTTCAGTGTTATACTGAGCTTCCAAAACAGAAATTTTTACAAGATCCATATGTGAAACATATTTTTTCAAGAAACAAAAAATATTTATCTCTTCTGAAAGTAGGAATAACATATGTTCATACATCTTTCAAGTTTATAATGGTAGCTCACTTAAATAAAGCAGTGCAAAATCATGGGCCATAAGTATAAAGTATTAGGCATTCTAATATTTTCCATTAATCATCATTTCGTACAAACATACTAGCATCTTTTAATAAGTTAGAAAATAGTTTAAGGGCTAGAATCTATAACTTAGTGGTTAAGGAAGTCAGATTCCATATGGCCAACTGTAGTTCCAATCTCAGCCTCAGCAATTTGAAAAACATGCCAGGCACATGTGTGTGTGCATCAAATCTGAACAGTATGGAGAAGGGGTTATGGCATGACTGTGACCCATGGGGCATTGCTTTCTCCCTTTATCTTTCTGTTTTATGTTTGTTTTTTTTTTTCTCTCTGGTCAGCACATATGCCTTCTAGCAATTAAAAAAGGAAATAGTTTAAAAATATCATTGTGTAAACACATTAAATTATTTACTTGTTTATTTATTTAGTTAGTTATAGGGTGCCTGTGCTCACTGGAGAGAGACAAGAGAGAAACAGAGAGAGAGGAAATTGAGAAATAACCCTTCAAGGGGGATGGCCACGCCACATTCCTTCTCCTCCAATCTCCTCTTGGATTTTGAGCATGCATACAAACACGCCTGGTGTGTTTTTCAAGTTGCCAGGTCCAGAGCTTGAATCACAAAGTTGGCCAGATGGGATTCAGCAGCTTTAACCCCCTTGTCTGCTGGCCCAAATTCTTTAACAAAGAGAAAAAAACCATTTTAAAAATATTTAACTAGAAGCTGGTGTATAATTAACTTTCAGAGAAAGTTAACATATTGGTAAAACATCAAATGAAGACCTACCTGTTATTTATACTGGTGTCTTGTTCATGAACACTTTTTTTATTTGATGTTCCATTGGTAAGTCTTGAAACAGGTCGAGATTTTACTAATAAAAATTAAGAAAAGTGAGCCATGACATAGAAGACATTCAATATGTAAGAATAACATGTAAACTTACTGGCCAGACACTATAAGTAAAATTAAATGTTAATGTGAAAAGCAGTGTGTATTCGCTCAGCTTACATGAATACACATAAATAAATAAATTTTGGCATTTGAATCTAGAAAAAAGCCCAAACGCAGGATAATTTTTTTTCCCCTATGAGCTTTAACTCTCAGGAACTACTAAAAATTAGAGGGCTAAAACCTACCTGCAATGGAAGTTTTGACACTGTTTCCACTATTTTTCGCCATTTGTCCTGAAGAATCACAAAAGGACAATTTATGACCAGAAGGTTTCTCTTCTCCTATTGATCCATTTTCTTTTGGTTCATCAGTGGAAGACAACAATTCCATACTTGAATTAATGGATCTGCTGGAGGGTCCTGCAATGCTGAGGCATGGAGAATCTTTCCCTGTCACTTTCTTCAAGGGCTTAGCTTTGGCTTGCGGGTTTAAGTTTCCATTGAGTACCTTGGGCCTGGCACCTGTAATCTGCCCTTCCTGATTTCTTATTCCTTTTCCAGTTAATGGATTTTTCTGTCCAGTTGTTGCTGACATGGCTGATCTTTCCACATGTTGTCTAGGTGACATGTTTTCCAACTTTGCATTACCGTTTTCTGCTTTGGGCTTTATTACAGTTTTGGGCTTTCCAGAAACATTGTTCCCCCCAGTTTTTAATTCTTTTGTAAGCTTAGATGCTACTTTTGTTCCAGGCTTTTCTTTTACATCATCATGCTTCAAAGTTTTATTTATGCTATTTCTACTAGTACTTGAGGAGTGTCCAGATGCTCCTAATCCATCAGATTTCATTTTCTGATTAGTAGAGAGATAATTCCAACA